TGCCTGCTACTACTGTAGCCAGTCACCTCAATAAACTCAGGTCACCAGAGGATTAATTAACATCACACTGAGCTGATGCCCTTTTCACCCTTAAAAGGAGTTTCTCAAATGCTCAGAAACTGGACTGGCCAGTTTCTGCATATATTTTATAGATCAGCAATGCAGAAGAACTTCCACTGGGTTTCAGAATGAATCCAGATTACTAAAGCAAAGAAGAACATTATCTACACCTGGTATCTGCAGTAGGATGCATCAAAATGGATTACAGCAACATCAGTACTGTTCTCCTGCAATGCCTGGTGAGATGTTTTTCTACATGTGCATTCTGCTTTCATGTTTCTTAAGTGAGTTACAGCTCTGAACAGATCCTGCAAAATCTGCTAGGCTTTGTTGTTAAAGCCTTTGGAAGGTTTCCATAAAGATCTTCAGCAGGGAGGCACACTCTACTCTTCTGTCTCCATACCCAGTTTCTCCTTCTTTAACCACCTTTGAGCTGATACATCTTTCTCTACTGAGACAGGAACTGTGGGTAAGTGACACCACTGACCTATGTAGGAGAGGCAAATAAAATGCAAAGAAACAGTGTTTAATTACATGTGGGATGCAGATGAAAATGGAAAACACTAAACTCAAATGGAATTTTTTTTTTTTCTTTCAAATCCTTCATTAATCTCTGCTCCCAACTGAATTCTTAATGGTTCCTTAACCCAAAGATCCTCCCACTCCAGCACTGTTCCAAGCACTGCAGACGGAAAAGCGTTTGGAAGAACTTCAAAACCCACATCAGTTGCTTCCATTAAAATAAAGCAAATATGGACACAAAAATACTTCCTTTTTTTGAGTTGAAAGGACAGAGTTAAAGTAGCCCAGGTAAATATTCAAACGCTGAAAGATCTCACTTCAGGAAATAATTTACACAATGTATTTACCAGACAGAGCTCTGGATAGGGAAGCACAAAGCAATGCTAGGCTTGCCAGAGCAGTGAAAGTGTAAACCAAAATCCTTTAGCACAGATCATGTCTAACAAATGGCCTAACATTTCCACTCAGCAGAATTTGTTAGTGACCCCTTTGAGACTGCAATATTTTAGCACAAGATAGGCCCAAGCCAAAAGAGAAAAAACTTTTCTACAAATACATCTGATTTTGGCTTTTGTAATGCCATATGTCACCAAGTTGTTTACACTTTCCATAGTATCAAAGTACACTCAATTGAAGGCAATAATATGAGTTAGAGGAAGCCTAAAAATAGCTACTGTACTGAGACATCACACTGCCTGCAAGAGAACTGAACTCCCCTTTTCTATGATGCTCACCTCCTGTCTTTGCTTCCTAGGTTAACCAGAGCTCTATGGACAGATTTCACTCTGCATTTCAGAGACTGGTTAAGTCTTCTTCACCTAATTAAACAAACTATGTTATATGATAACATCTGTCTTTACCTAGTGACCATTAAATCCAACTGTGAAGTTCATTAGTGACCTACTGTAACTTCAACCCTTCTGATCCAATACTTTTAAACCAAAGCACATCATTTATCATTGTACTTTGAGACAGCTCTCATTCCCATTTTGAGGAACCATGGCACAGTGCAGTTCAGGAACCAAATTAATCATGATAAAGTATCACACAATGTCCACAAAGAACTACAATAAACTTGTCACTGGATGTGAATTTCCTATTTATAGGTAGTGTGAACCAGCTGATAGCCTGTTGCGGGATAAAATCGTTCACTCACTTCAAGAATATGTTGGAAAAGTAAAATTCTGACTTTATAAGCTCAATACATGCCAAGCAAGTTCACTAAAGGTCTCCTAACAGTTATCAACAACATCCCTACAAACATCCCATTTGTATTAAGCTGTAGCATTGGCAGTAGATTAAGTCCTATTCCAGTGTTAATTCCAATTACCATCAATAAAGCAACTTGTCCCATTTGCCTTTCCCAGACGCAAAGCACAGCATTCCATTTGGCTATAATACCCCTACTTCTCCTACATTTAATATCTCTAGCTCCTTTAACAAGTCTTAAACTCATCCTGCTCCTCACCTGCTTATTTAAAACCTAAAAAAAAAAAAAATAAATGAGAGTCTAGACAGGGGAACCAGGCAGCATTTTCATTAGTAAAAAGGAGAAACACTAAAAATAAATAGAAGAGTATTAGAGAAATTTGGGGTTGGTTTTGTAGGCAATTTCAAATCTACTAATTTTTTCTACAAAGAATCAACAAATATGGATGAAGTAGTCTACTTCACATACTAGAGATTTTCACCAAAACTACACAAACTAGTAGACTAAAGGGGAAAGGATTGGTTAAGGGGTAGTAGCAGGATCCGAGGGCTGGAGCACCTCTCCTATGAGGACAGGCTGAAAGAGTTGGGGCTGTTCAGCCTGGAGAAGAGAAGGCTCCGGGGAGACCTTCTAGTGACCTCCCAGTACCTGAAGGGGCTACAAGAAAGCTGGGGAGGGACTTTTCGTAAGGGCAGTTAATGACAAAACAAGGGGAAATGGGTTTAAACTGAAAGAGGGGGAGGTTTAGATTAGATATTAGGAAGAAGTTCTTCACTGTGAGGGTGGTCAGACACTGGAACAGGTTGCCCAGAGAAGCTGTGGCTGCTCCTCCCTGGAAGTGTTGAAGGCCAGGTTGGATGAGGCTTTGAGCAACCTGGTCTAGTGGAAGGGGTCCCTGCTGATGGCAGGAGGTTGGAACTGGATGAGTTTTAAGGTCCCTTCCAATCCAAACCATTCTATGATTCATAGTGGAGGAGGCCGCCATAAATTGCTGTAATACCTGTTATGTTCAACACTGATAAAAGTTTTTTAAGTTAGCAAGGCAACACTGCTAAGATTATATAGTTATTCACAAAGTCAAAGCAAGTCTGATGAGAAACATCACAAGTGTCTTCCAGCACTGAAATGTCACTTACTGTTTCACTTCCCATTTGTTATCCATGCACTGTACTAACCAGAGGGGAAAATCCTGACTAAGGACATGCAATCCATGCACAACCACCTCGTTATTCCTGATGATGAAAGACACTCAAGTCATTGTCATTACTCTGCTGAGAACAGGGCAGTGCTCAGAGAGAAGTTAAAACAGAGCCAATCTTAGAAAGGATCAGGAACAAACAGAAAATATTCTGCTGTTGTTACAAGCTATGCTACATCCACTGCATGACTAGTAAGAGTGGCAAAAAGCAGCCCAGCTGAAAAAGGATATTTGTGAACCAGAAACCATAATAAAGGGCAATGAGGATGAAAAAGATCTGAAATAGCTTGGATTCCAAAGAATTACAAACAAAAGAAAGCGTGGCAGGGAGCACAGCAGTCAAGGCAAGCTATGAGTTAATGCCATACTCAAAGATAAAAGCCAGCTTAAATTTTACAGTAGATTAGAGATCTCAAAATTATGAACTTGTTAGAACTGGGCAGAGAAGAGTCAAACTCAAGATATTTGACACAGATTCAATACTAGATGAAATATATTGATTACCAGTGTCCACACTGCTCCTCTCCTATTACCATTTATTAAGTGCAAGCAGTTAGTAATCCTTTAATCACGTCTCATTTTCATTGCTGCAAGCACAGTTATCCTTGTGTGCTCCAAACAACTGCAGAGTTGCACAATATATACACAGAAGGGGAAATTTTCACTTCACTCTTCAAATACTTTACACCTGTGAACATCCTGAAAGGTATCTGAAAGGTACCAGTGGTTTTTTATTAATATAAAACCATACAATTGCTGCACACAAAGCTGTTCAAAATATCTCTCTAGGTATAATGTGTTGCACCAATCTTTACCTAGCCCTATCCAAATTATACCAATAAGAATTCATTAAAAACTAGCCAAACCAGAATTGTACTCTAAGGAAAATTAAAAACTCAAGTACACAAGGTCAGTGTAAACATGGTCTTTAATATTACTGAAGACAAATTTTGAAATCCAAGTCTTCGGTGGGTTTCAAATAAATAATCATTTTGAGTTAAGTGTTTACATATAAAGGGAGCTCTCAAAAGCAGCAGTGCACAGTTTGTAATTCCTCCCTGCTAACACATCTCCAACGAGAGAATGTACAGTAGGTAGTGCACACTGGGGGGTGGGGGGGGGGAAACCAATCACAACATAGGGCACACTTGCCATCTTCAATTAAACAACCAAATATGATGTTGAAAAGAGGGGAGATGCAAATGAAGGCATGCACTGCCCTTTAAAGCACCACTATTTTCCCCATAGACTTTTTACCAGCATCACACAAATAAGAAGCCTGGGGAATGCAAATCATCTTTCTGCTTCTAAAAAATCCACTCTTAAAAGATTAACACAGCAGTGCTCCACTATAGAAAATGTATTCCTCAAACTGACATTGCAGCATAAAAATATCATTCCCATCCTAATTGGTCTCTCTGCTCAGGGACACCTACTCTTAATTTTTAAATTCCTCTCCAATAACTGCAGAGGTAATCCAGAAATATTAAAGATAGGTAAGAGCTGTTGTTTCTTGTAGATTCTGGCCTGGTGTACTGAAAAGAACAAAGACACAACAGGCCTCAAGAAGTTGTATGGTTACCCAGCAAAATTGTCTCGTGTCCTACGTCACTCAAATAAAACCTTCCAAAAGTAAAAATTCTTCCTCAAAGTGAAGATTTGCTTTTTCTTAAATGACTCAAATCATTCTGCTGTAAAAACATGCCCAATGTGAAGTTTCTCACATGGAAACAAGAAGATTTAACAAGCCAGAAAGATCAACAAGAAAATCAGTTATAAATATGCCACTAATATACCTGCAAAAGAGTTATTGTAAATTGTTCTCTTATTTAAGTTTCTGTTTCATCAAAACATTGTCTCTCTGCAGATCTGGGTAGGGCAGTCTTCCACTCTTTGCACTTTAGTTCAACATGCAATTGATCTGTGATAAGAGCTTCAGTACTCACCATCGAAGCACACAACCTACTAGCAGAAATTCCTCACCACAGTTAACCTGCTTCAGGACTCCATTTTTCTTCTCCATTCCTAATATACTTGAAAAAAGTTCTGCCTCTCTCTGCTATGAGTCAATAAAAAAAACCCCTTACTATGTAATACTGCTGTGTACCTACTGAATAAACATTACTGGAGTTATAGGATTGTTTCAATTGCTAGCTTGGCTTTGGCAAAACATGACTTGGGCTAACATACACCACATGCTTCACACATTTGAGTAGGGGACACTGCAACATTTAACAGATACAAAAAAATAAATCTTAGATATTTCTATAACTGTCAGTACACAGGACTCCCAAGTTGTTCTGAGAACAGGAGCAGGGTAATCAATTTTCAAGGAAAGCCACATAGTCAGTCAATCTGGCCAACTGCTGTTCATTTGGAATTGGTGGAACCGGAGCAGGTTCTACAAAGATAAAACAAATGCATTGTTAATGAAATTAAGAAAGCAAATCCATCCACAATATCATCCATCACAACAGTAAGGAAAAAATTAAAAGCATCAGACTGTTCAACAGTCTTATGGAGGGGAATATCTTCACTGTATCTCCTACCCAGGCAGCTTTAGCTGACACTACCTTTCTGTCATCTGCAACTTTAAGTAGTCCAAGAGTTATCAAGAGCAGAGACAGCTGTAACAAGTTCCAGTTGTCAGCAGTCTCCAATTCTTTTTTTCATATACTGGAGTTTGAATAATGAAGACTGACTGTATTCCCACTTGACCAAAAAAGCTCCTGGAGCTCTTCAGTTGCTCCTTTCCTGAGAAGGTGCCATACTGAAGACAGTAAATAAATCTTACTGGGTTATCTGACTAACAAAACACAGCAAAGTACTGCACAGGGTACAGAAGAATGAAGTAGACACACAGATCCTTATATAAATGCCAGCTAACTTGAGATTACAGTTTAGTAAAACATTGGAAGACAAGTGACTAAAGGCAGGGAGATAAGAATTAAAAATCAGAAATAAAAAAAGAGCAGGAAAATTTGCAGGTACTCTTCCTAAAGAGTTAACAAACTAGCACTCAGGATAAAGCAGATGTACTGCTTAGGGCTGCAAGGACATGACAGAGGAGGCTGACAATCAAAAGAATGTGTTCAAAAAGCAAGACCCCAACTCTTGAAATTGGCTTGGAATTAAACCTGGAAATTTAAGACACTTTTTGGCAATTGTGTTAGACACAGCAAGCCACCAATTGAGATCTGCTGTCGCTACCTGGTGAACAGCCAACAGTGCTCAGAGTCAGCATGACAATTTGTTACACCTCAATCTGTAGCTGAGCTCTGAGGAAAACGAGAAGATTGTTTTCTTCTACAGGGAAGACTTCTGAAGTCTCACATCACACACAGGTAACCAAACCTACTCAGAGTTGCTTTGTGAAGAAATTGCCTGGAAGTCAGAAGTTTTCACCAAAACCCTTTTTGTTTTACAGGGGCCGTCTACCCCTGCTTTGGAATTTGCTCCTTTTTTCAGCTATGGAAGTGGGAATCTCAGGCACTCCTCAAAACATGAGGGGAAGAGAAGACAGATGCAGAAATACATTTACATAGCACCTGATTGGGGTTTGTTTGAGGTTTTTTTTTGAGGGGGCAATGATGACATTCACTTCTCTAGGACCCAATTCCTATTCTGTGGTGCAGATGAAGTTGTGTTTATACTAAGCATGCAAGTTTTAGAAACATGCAAGTAGGTTATATATAAACAGGAAGTACCTGATGAAGGAATAAATCTGTTAAAGGAAGCTTCCAGCACACCTGAAGAAAAACACAATAGAAGTTAGCCCAGCAGACTACACATCAAGCCAAAACTGGATTAAAAGGTAATTAAAATTAAGCCTGTTCATCTACCCATTTTACTTCATAACTAAAAAGCAGAATACCCAAGGCTTAGCTGGTTCAACACAGCTTCAAAATAAGATGACAACCTCCTGCCTCTTTCTTTTGCCTCTAAAATAGTTCTTGCACTCACTTTGGAAAAGAACCACATGAGAAAACTGATCATGTGCGAAAGCCCAGGGCTCTGTGGTTGGTTACATGCCCTGAGGGATACATTTCAACACCTTGCCCAGCACTTGTTTATTATAATGTTCTGGGCTCTGAACACCTACAAATTCTGCCCATACAAACAAGATATTTTTTTTTCTTAGCCTAATAGACGTTGCCCTTTTAGATATGCTACAATTTGTCTCCTTCCAGAGCTGCACTGTGCAGTGTAAGAGCAGTCATTTCAGCTCTGCCTTTGCCTAATTTTTTTTGCTTCAGCCAGCCATAGATACTGCCTTAGGGGAAAAAAAAAAAGTATTTTTGCAGGCTGAGCTTTGCAGAAATAGATATTCTGCCATCAACATTATGATAGTGAAGAAGAGATCCAGTAGGACAAGTTTTAAAAAGCAAAGGAAATTATATGAACAACTTGAGCACCTCAGAACTTGAGCTCCAAAGATCCACTAGATCCCTGCCCAAAGAAGTTCTACTTCTGGAAAAAATCTCAAGTTCAAAATGGTATATTTTTTACTCATCTTTATTAGATTAAGACATGTCATTTGAGGTCATGCAACTTATGTTCCACTAAGTCAGAGCCAGCAACAGAGGAGGAGCAGGAGAAATCATAGCATATCCTGTCTGCTTTTGTTTAAAAAAAGTTAATTTGAGGATGTACTTTAATCCAAACTACTTGTAACCCCAAACCAAACCCACTACTTGAATTCCTACATTTTATAAACATCCCATGTTTTACAGCAGCATAAGCTGCCATAAAAAATATCTAAAAGAATATTGTGCAAAATTTTAATTAAAAACTAACACCTAATTACTAGAAAATGCTCAACTCAGTGGTTGGTGAAATAACAGCTCCACCTACCTGGTTTTTTAGGCATTACCATACGAGTTGAAAAGTCTGCTTGCCAGCCCTGGTCTAATACACCTGAAAAGGCATTTTTGTATGTGTAAGAACAATTATATGACTGCTAGAAATGTCAAATAAAGACACACATTAAGAACAGTAGAAAAACATCAGTACACTGTCTATATGGCACAACTCTTGAGACATATTTCTTGTTAGCATTTAGACATTTAGTTTGACAAATAAGCTGATGAAAGTAATGACAGTACACAAAACTAGGTTAACACACTACCTTCAGTCTTCCCTCATTGTGGAACTGCTTTAATGCTTCTACATATAGAAGAGGAAGATAACCAATGGCAAATAAAGTCAAACACTTATCCAGAACCAAGACATTTATCTCTATTCACTGCCTCATCACTTCTCTCTAGAAGTCTCAGAATTTGTATATGTGTGTTTATTTACCATATTTATTTACCATGTTTATTTACCTTACAGCTCTCTGATCTTAACCAGTAGAAAAACTTCTCAGTGAATAAATGCAAAGTACCTTTCACAGCCTCTTCTACAGGAAGCCCAACAAAAGCTGCAAAATCATCTGCAACTATTGAGGTATATGCCTGAGAAACCAGTCCAAAGGCTCGTCTCCTAGTGGCATCTAAGAAGAGAGAAACACTGTAAGCAGACAGTAAACTTATCTCCATAACTAGGAAATGTGGGAAATTATTTTCCAATTCTAACACATTTGGAAAATCACTACCACCTTTAAAGCCAGCACTTTAGAAGCTCCCTCTCCCTTCTCACAAGTACCACAGTCAGCAGCCAGAGACAACAGCTTGCTCTGCACCAGGACAAAACCCCTCAGAGACCACATTTAACTTCCAAATGCAGTTTGTAGCATCTTGGGTGCTACCACCAGTATATAAATCAGTTAAGGAAACTCTGCTTCCAATGGCATTCACCATTTGCAATAAGTTTATGTGTCAAATAGTTCAGAATCAGATTTAAAAAATCATGAAAAAAGCAATTAGTCAAACTATTCATGCCTTTTTAATCACATCTGCTTCAACACCAAGGCATCTGCAAATCAGTTGTTTCTAAAGCTACAGAAAATGTGTTATTACAAAATATTTTGGAAGGCTTTTGCAGTCTGTACTGCCCTCTAGGAGTCAGACTTTGCATGCTACTGTTGCACAGTCTATAACTAAATATTTGTCTACAGCCACATTTAAAAGAAAAAACTTCAAGTGTCACCAGGTTCTGAAAGGTCAAAGCAAGTTCCCTAGATTACTGGTTAAAAGTCTGATAAAACTGGATAAATAATGGCCTATTTTGCTATTACAGAACAAAATATACAGTGTATGACATCCCAGTATGAAAGAACATACAATCACACACAAAATCTTAATTATTAAAACTTGTTTCTACAAGTTTTTGCAAAGAGATTTTTATTTACACCTGATACCTAAAATCCTTTAAGTAAAACCTACTTGGTAGGTTTTGGCAACAAGCTTCCAAACCACTCCTGATTTTTCATAAGGAGTACTCATTTGTCTACTTGTCTATTTATGTTTGAGCACACAGAAATAATTTAAGGCATGACATAATTCCATGCTACCTACAAGAGTTCAATTTATACCTCTAAGTGCTTCCATAATTGGTTGAATAGTCTCAGACCACTGATGTGCACTGATGGTTGTATAGATTCCTGGGAAGTCTCTCTGCCAGATTCTTTGTCCTACTGACCAAACTGCACCAAGTTCAGCATTTGCCTGTTGCAAGAGGAAAAAAAAACCCACAACTAGTTAATCCAGAATTGTATATTCTCTACAGTGACCATTCTGTACAAACAGAATTTCCACTCCTCTCCTTTTCCCATTGCAAGAGTGTATCACAATACCTGTAATGATGAACAGGGAAGAAATGGGAAACCTTTTTCTAGCAGTTATCAATGCTTCAAGCTCCCCAGCCCTTCCTCTGTCAAAACTTGGCACCCACATAAGCAAATTTTGCTCATATGTTGTATCAATCCAGGCTGACACATCAGCTAGAGCTATCATGGATGATATTTTGCACTCAGCCTACTGACAGAGGTTGCAAAGAGGCAGGGACAGCTTACTTTCTGCTTAGAGCAATGCCTGTCTCTTCAGCAGAGGCTTTGTAAAGTGCACAGGCTGTTTGCACAGCGAAGGCAATTTCCAGCTGGGGTGTCTTGCAGCCTTGACAATAGCTCACACTTACTTTGGTGCCATACTCACTACAACTCCTCTCCTACTACTGGTTTTAAGGGCTACTTCTACTGTGTTACATACACATTGTCATTTGGGCAACTGGACTCCAGAACAGCCTGTCAGAATAGCAACCAAACTGGGTAATAAAGCAGTATTTTTCAACTGTAAAGAACCAATTTGTTTCTGAAGTTAAGACTCATACTAATTATTACTTGACTCAATTAGCAAGAGATTGATCAACACACAGACATGAAAAAATACTATGCTTTGAGGTGTAACCTTCCCAAAATAATTCATGCAGTGAGGTTCCCCACTAAGAACAATGTTTCACATGAAATGCAAGTAGGCAGCTGGGTCTCTTTAGCTTGGAGAAGA